CTAAAGTGTCAGGGAAAATATACTCACATAAGCTGGTAGGTAACTGGGGGCTAGGGGTTAATGCAAATGACAAGACACTATAATTTTAAAATTTATAAAATAGTAGTTTAAGACATGACATTAAGAAAAAATATAATCCACTCCTTGATTGGGCAGGTGAAGAAACCCAAGCATGGAGAGCTGATGTGACTTGCTTAAAAATGTAACAGCAACTAAAGTAGCCAAAGCGAGGCTAAACTCTAGCCCATGTTCTTTTCCATTTTAACATATTTTCCATATTTGTGTCCATTTTTCCTTCAAAGAGAAAGTGAGTCGGATATGGCATTGTGTATTGGGAAGCAGTTTATGTTGGTGAGAGAACATTGGACTTTGTCTAGGAAGTCTGAGTTTGAATCCCAGGTCTGTCATTTCCTTAGGCAAGTTACTTAACCTCACTGAACCCCAGTTCTTTTACACAGAAATGAGTCTAGTAATATATATCCCACATATTTCAAATGTTGATTTCTATAAAAGCACTCTGCAAACTCTACAATACTGTTCAAGAGACATTCTAAAATTTATCCTCTGTCATCATAAATATGCTTTATTTTCCTATTTTGTAAAATGAAGATTTTATAACTCATTTCAGGGACAGTTACCCCTTTTTCCATATAGGGTAATGACCTTATATTTTGTAGTAACTGTTTCATCTAACTCTCACACTGGGAAATACGAGCAACCTAATAGCCATAGGGCATGTTTAATTCTAGATGTGCAATTCATGATGGTAGTATAAACACATGCTATAATTGATAGGACCTATCCAATTTTTCTGATCCATATTCCTGAGGGCAGGGTCAGTTGACAGAATTCTGTTTTCTCAGCAACCCTAGCATGCAGAATTTTTAAAAAATCATTTTTTATTGAATATTTTCCTACCACAGAATCAGCACGATAATTCTCCTTAAAAGATTATCAGTGGGAGGATGGGTGCAAGCTGCCAACCTAACTCCCCTAGAAACACTTCATCCCTATAGCTCCAATGATATAATTACAGAAAAATTCCGTGGTATATGAATGTGGAGGGGTAGTCCATTTTATTTTCATTTCCAAAATCAGCTGATTCCTCTACAGTAGATTATTTAAACAACATTAACACTGACCTTGTGACTTGCTTTGATCGATAAACCTTGAGCAGAGGTGATAAATGCCACCATAGATGGGAGGTTTAAGAAACTGCAGATAATTCTGCCCTCTTTTTCCTCTGCCACAATACTAACACTATCCCAGGCTGAGTCCCAGAGCAAAGTGCTAAGCCAACATTCAGTGAAGATGTAACATAAGTGAGAAATACACTTTCATTGAGGTGAGCTTCTATGTTTTGAGGTCTTATGTCATCAAGTCATAAACTGCCCTAAGATGACTGGCCCAAGTGTGTCAAGTGCAGTGAGCTTCCCTCCATCATGATATTTCCTTCTTAGTATATATAGATGGAGAGAACAAGGAGAAAGTAAAGAACTATGCACTAAGGAAACCATGTGTTTGCCAGTAATTCATTATTGGTCCTTTTTCTCTTCAGTTGATATTTAAAAAGATATAATTCAAAGATTTTTAATAATGACACTGAATATTTTACACCTGCCATAGAATAAAGGCTGCTAAACTGAGAGCACTAATACCATTTTACACACATTCTTTAAGGTGGAAAAATAAATCATGATAACATAATGGTACTATTGACTTTGCCTGTATTTTACCAGAAAGAGTAACTGAAATTGGCCTTTTGAATTCCCCCACCATAAATTCCTTCCCCGAGCCATCTTTCCTCACTCTTTCATGTTTATTTATAAGATGTCACTTGGCCATCAAGAACTTACTCCCAAGTTTTACTCCTCAAATGGCATGCAGGTCTAATGAACAATAGATTTATAAACCAATTTAAATGGTTATCAATTTCTTATAAAAACTAGGCCAGTGCACATTTGATCACACTTACACAGTCACATAGTCTCTTATTAAAAATCAAAGGATGAACATGCTTGCCTTCCCCCTAGAAGAAAATTGATTTAAAATATAAAGCACAAAGTGGCCTCAAATGTCCTTTTAAATCGTGTATTGCCAAGAAATCTTCAAATCAAAATAATGAGGAGCATGTGAAACAATTTCCAATATAACACTGCTTAATCTCTCTGTCCAGTAGCACAATATCAGCACACCACAAACTATGCCTGGCTTCTATAATTTAGGCACAGCCCTTTCTAATTTGTTTATAGATTTTACCAAGAAAAAAAAAATGGAATCATTAAAGCTAAAAAAGTATCTACCTTCTGAGCTCCTTTGTTGTATTTATATCTTAAGAAATTGTGTCTTTAGTTGCGAATTAAAAATGAGTTGCCAGGGCCCCTTAATAATTAATGTTGAAATGAACAATTGTTTCAAGTACAACACATTCCATTTAATGTTAAACAGCGTTATATTTACTGTAATTCTACCTTTCATCCTAATGTCAACCTTTAAATCTTTAATGCTTTAATCACACTTCTTTTTCTGATATCCCCTGTGAGTTCCTCAAACCAGTGCCCACTCCTTTGTGAAAAGGTGGGCATTTTATGCTGCAAGGGTTAGTCAGCAGCAATTGTTAATTATTAAGGAAAACAAAATGCAGCTGCTGGAAAATTGTGTTTGTTCCCAGCAGGGCATGTTACCTTTAATCTCTACTGACACTGAGGCAAGTGAAGTCATAAAAGGGAGATAATGCATTTCAAGAACATGGCCCCAAAGAAAATTAAAGAATTTCCTATAAAATTAATGAGCCTAATTACCAGATAATGTCCACATTTGCCTCTCAATAAGTTATCCTCAGTAAGAGGGCTGGGAAGAGGGAAAGTGAGGGGGGTCTGGTCCTAAGGAGCAGCTTAGCTGCTGGGTGGGTGGAACTAAGATAAAGAGCAAGAAACTCAAACCCTGTACCACGGGCCTCTATTTCTCTATTTCTCCCGGAATCTGATGCGGGGAGGAGGGGCAAATATCTGCTAAGAATGTGCTGTCTGCAAGGTAATATACAAGACGAGGTATATTTTAGCTCTGTCCCTTGCCTGGTTTAGGGCTGTGAGCCATAGTTCACCTATCTGAGTCTTAGTAATCCTCACCTGTACCATGTTTTTCTTTTTTAAATTCTATTTACTTATTTTTTTTCTTACAATGTTTACCTTTTTTTTAAAAAAAAGATTTATTTATTTATTTATACAAGAACTGGGGTACAGGCCAGAGGCAGAGGAGGGTGAGAGAATTCATCAGAGACAGAGTGGGGAGCAGAACAGACAGGTCTACCGAAACATACTACTGAGGGGAGCATCAGGAGTGACAGGAGAGGTCTGCCATGCCATATGAGTATCTCCCTGGCCGGCCAGGAATTGAACCCATGCTGCAGAGGCTGCCGACAGCTTCACAGTGCTGCGCTCAACCCACTGCACCAATGGGGAGGCCCTGTTTGCTTTCTTTTCTCAGGTGAAGTCCCCATAGAGTTTCCACCATCAATTCACCCATGAACATTTTTTTTTTAAGGATTAAAGATACTTCAATCAAAGCTGTTAGTAACAATGCTTGGAACCAAAAAAATCATTCACTATACAGTTTCAAATCACTAATTGTCACAAATAAGATGTCAATAATAATAATAACTAGATATTATTATCTCTACTGCCATTGTCTCCAAGTTCAAAATACTAGCATGTAGAGGATACAAAATATGAACTTGAGTCTCCCTGACCACAAAGACCAAACTAAAAATTAGATGTATAAAATGAATCATTTCCTCTTATTAAAAAAGATGATAATAGGTAAATATTTACTCTCCTTTTTCAACTGGCAAATTTGTCTCTAACTTAGGATTTATAGAAGCTCAAGTGGGAAAAAATAGTATATGGAATTTCAGGAAGGGACAGCCTTATTGAACAGTCTGACTTTCCATATTCATAAATGCCTATTTTGTAGTGCTCAAAACCTGTAGCCTAATTTAGGAATCAAAAGTCACCATTTTCATCCAAAAATGAACCTAGGAAAGTAAAACTACAATAAAGTAAGTTCTACAAAACCTAAAAATGCTTCAAAAAGGTTTTAGCGTTAGCTGAGCTTTCACAAAGCTTCTGGGGGAAGAGGGACTCTTATTTGCACAGACTTCTTGAGCCCCAGGAATTGAAAAAAATTCCCAAAATAGTCTTAAGTGAAAAATTTCTAACCATTATCTGTTCATAAACCACTTTGAAAATTTGTTGAATCCTATGGATATTCTACTGACACACACAGCAAAGCACATATGCACTTAGATTAAGAATCCTATATGGATTTTGCTTTTGACCCAGCGAATTTCATGAGGTTAACGTCTAAGTGAAACTCTTTGAAATCTAAATCGAAGATGGCCAGAAGCAGAGCAAGTACTTTTATACTCAGCCCATGAGCTTCCCTGAGGATTAGGGTTGGCCCTGGTGGTCTTGGTGGTCTGCAGCCAGCCGCTGAGTGATCACTGGGGGACAGGACGCCAAGAGCGATGTGAGCACGCAGAACTGGTGAATCACCACTCCCTCCCAAGGATAGCTGGTGGCTCTCCACCTGTGTCCTTTCAAGCCTCCACCTGTGCTGGTCAGATGAATTACTACTAATAAAATAATATATATTACATAAAGTATACCACATAATGAATTTCTTATTCACATGAAATTAAGATTATATTTATAAATTATAAGACATTCTATGCAAGGCATAGTTAAAATTCCTTGAAACTTTTCCTCCAGAGAATGATAAAGACACGGAAATGAACATTTTCCATTGCTTCATGTAATCCTCGGAGCAGTCCTGAATAGGAATTCTGTTTTACACTTAAAGAACTATACATCATACTTGTTTAAAAGTTTCTGCTTAGTATCCTAAAAATGTTTACCACACTTCTCCATGATGCAAAGATTAAATAAATTGCTGAGGTATGAAATTTGAGCAGAATATTCCTTAATGAAGATATACCTTACCTGCTAGATTGACGGTGGGCCAATAAGGGAAAAGCTGCAGTTGTAGTTTCTCAGCTGTAGAACAGTCCGTGAAGATCAAAACCTGTGCAAATAACAGGAACAAAGCTTAGTTGTTAAAATCATGATCTCAAGTTTCAGACATACCTGGGTTCAACTCCTATTTCTACCACTTGCAAAGAGTATGACTTTGGAAAATTTACTTAATGTCTCAGTGCCCCACTTGCTTCATTTAAAAAAAAAGAAAGTTATCTCTCATGAGACTGTTGTGTAGATTAAATGAAGGATGCAGGTTAAGTGCTTCACATAGACCTAATATATTGCAAAACATCTGTGTATGTTATTACTTAGCATATATATATGTATATATATTACATACCTCCTATAAAAGAATCCCTTTATTATTAGTGGAAAACTGAAATTCCAGGAGGGTTGAAATGACCCAGTGAGGGGTAAGTGAATTAATCAGGCTTTTTATGATACTAGCTTCTGTGGCTGTCACCTGGTGTCTTGATTGTGTTGATGCTGAAGGTGCCTGGGGATGTGGGCTTGGGGCATGCCTACCTGGAGCATGGGTGTGTATGCATGTGTAAGTGTGCACACCTGAGCCTAGAGGATGAGATCAAAGCAGTAGCATCGGTAGTAGTAGGAGGACTAGCGGTGTAACTACAGAAGAGGCCAGACCACAAGATGACGAGAGAACACCAGAGAGGCCAGAGAAAGAGCATAAAGATTTTTGGGGGGGGCTGGGAGGCTTGGTAGCCTGCCTGCCTCCCAGCACCCCCTTCCCAGTCCACACCTGCCCTCTTGCATCCTCTTGATCCCCGGACCCCCTGACCACCTTGCACCTGGTCGCTCCACTACACCCAGTGTGACAGAGCACCCTGCCTTTCTTGAGCTGTACCACCTTTTTCTTGAAATTTATGTTCTGTTTTCTCTACTTCCATTCATACCACAAATTTCTCCTTTTCTCCAAACAGAGCCGGAAGCATTCAACTCAGCATTAGGAAATAAAGCCAAGCGTCTGCCCTCATGATTTCAATGCTTATGAGACAGGGCAGAAAACCTTAGCGATTACCTTACACTGGATCAGGAAAGGTGTAGAGTGGAGATCATTCTCTTAGCTGAGGTGGATAAAGAACTACAGGGAGTTTGACACAAGAAGCAAAGTCTTATTTGCATTGTTGGTTGCAGGTGAAGCTATGAGATAACCAGGAAGCATAATTAACCTAAAGAACCTGGATTTCACCCTGGAGGGAATAAAGAATTAGTGATGGGGTAGGGGGCAATATGTGAGAAAAGAGTAGAAGATGACTTCCAAGTAGAAGGCTGGAGTCACAGAGGGTGGGGAGGTCAGGTCCTGAGTGATACACATAGATGAGTGGATTTGGGGAAAAAGAATAACTTCAGTTTGAAACACAGAGATGGATATTTGTAAGGATATTGAGGCACATGCTCCTCTCTGAAGGCTCTAGGGAGTGAATACTTCCTTGCTTTCTCCTAGCTTCCAGTGGTTTCCAGAAGTCCATGGGTTTCCCCAGCTGTAGATGGATCACTCCAATCTCTGCTTCCATTGTGACATAGGATTTTCCTCTCCTATGTCTTTGTGCCCAAATTTCCTCCTTGTCACAAAGTTAACAGTCACTGAATTAGGGCCCTAATCCAGTATGATGTTATTTAGATCAACAAAGACCACATTTTCAAATAAAGTCACATTCAAAGCGTCCAGTGAACATGGTTTTTGGGGGGACACCATTCAGCCAGTACAATCTCTGTATCCAGTTTATGCAGGTGTCATCAGTGGCTGATGGGCACTGAAGCTCCGAAGAAACCACACAACCACCTGTACAAGATCATCACTGAGAAGAATGAATAAGAGTCTGCCTAGTGGCTTAAGAAGATCTGTCTTCCTTTCCAACCTCCTCCAACCCCAGCCCCACAGAGTTTAAGGAAAGAGATGTCCCAGGGGTCTACATATACCTTCGGAGTAGGAGAGGAAAATCAACAGAGCTGACAAATGCCATCCTCTTCACTTCTGTGGTTTAGGGGAGAGTTTTGAATGGAAAGTAATAGTAAGATTATAAACTAGATTGGATAAAATTTTAGTAACAGTGGCTGAAAATTATGGAATCTTCCCAGATGCCAGGAGGGGAGAAATAGCATAGTAATATGGAAGACAATTACTGAAAAATTAAATTCATACCTACATCCCAAAATATGGATGGGGGCACCTCTGTTTACAGGCATTTGGAAGAAGTCTAAATAGGGAGGTGTGGGCAAAAGTCTGCACTGAACTCCAGGGAATGAGAAAGAAACTGCATGCTGATCCAGTTTGCCCATTCAATTAGGCAGGACCACACCTCTATGTAGCCACAGAGGGAATTTCACTCCAAATGAAAATAAGAAAAGTTCTCATGTTTGGGAAGCCAAAGTAAGCCCCAGGGATTTGTATTGCCCTAACCTCTTTGCTATTTCTGCCTTTCTCTTGTCGTTTTACCATGTGCAAAGGATTTTAAGTTTTATACATATTCTTTTCCTCCTCAAAGTGCTCCTTTTCTTCAATCCAGCTGTGAGTTTCTGGCAGAGAACTTTCATCCTTTTCAAATTAGTGTGACACCTTTCAAATGGTTCCCCATTGCTGCCCACTCCCGCCAATCATCCACAATATGCAGAACAGGGAAATAAGAGTCAAACAAGAAAAGTGAAAAAGAAAACTGGAGGTGATCAAAATGAGGGAACTTTGCTTAGCCGGGTTTCAATCCACTACAGTGTTCTGAGTAGGTATTCCAAGTATACTACTTGAACCAGGGTTCACTAGGAGCTATATATTTTAAAGTCTGCTTTTCCAGAATTAACATGCCAGCTGGAATTACTTATTTCATTCCAGCTCAGTAGGAATCCACAGGCTGCATAAAAATACATTAAGGAATATTTATTAAGATGGCAAATAGGACCAAATATATGGGAAAGAATAATATTGTGCATTGCTCATTACAAACATGATTATTTTGTGTATGTAACGGATGTGTTGTTAAGGCACACTGGGTTGTTTGAAGTTTTCAAGTTTGTTATGGATTGATTTATTCATGAAATGCTTTGTTTCTATGACAACTTTATTGGTTTGCCTGTGGTCTAAATACATATAGGCATGGCAGGAATTCCACGGTACAAAACAAATTACACACTCCCCCCTGAATCACTTGCTTCCTTTAGGGAGTGTAGCAAAAGGATTTCCAACCAGGGTAGACATCACCATACGCAGGGCCCGCATTAGATAGATCATACAATAATAAAGGGAAGAAAGACTTTTTAAAAAGAGCAACTTAAAAGTCTCCAACGGCCTCCAATTCTGTAATATAAGGAAAGATGGAAATGAGCAATGAAATGCCCAACCTAAGATAAGAGAAATACAATCTACCCACAATGCATGAGGTTTTTAAGAGTAAACACTGATCAAAGACCCATATTTCCTTCTATAAATAATACCCCTTGAAGGATACCATTAATATTCACAACAGTTGTGTAACTACAAAAGAAACTGAGAATTGTTGTCTAGAGAAAATAATAATGGGTTTTGGGAAGATAAAAGGAAAAGGCAGAAGAGAGAAAAAAGAGAGAGAGAAAGATAGATATTTACTGGGGACCAAGGATAATCAAGAAGGGAATGGCTCTTAGTTATCCCGTGAAACTTAAGTCAGGGAATCATGCCGGAGGAGATGTTTAGACCTTGTGAAAGCTGAAAAGGAGAGAGCAGAATAGAAATAGTGTTCATCATATTACCTTGAAATGCACACACATATATACATGGGAGGAAAAATTAAAATGAGGAAGATTATTTTAAATAAAATTGCTGCTTTTCATAAAGTCAAAGAATGCCATGTTAAATAATGAAAGTAGTCTTACATATAGTGAAATAGTGTGAAATTATTGATACATTTATTTTTTAAGATTTATTTATTTATTTATTTATTTATAAAAGCACTGGGTACAGTGAGAAGTGTGGAAGGGTGAGAGAATTCACCAGAGCCAGAGCGGGGAACAGAACAGGCAGACCGATGAAATACACTGCTGAGGGGAGCAGCGGGCGTGGCAGGAGAGGTCTGCGCACCATGTGGGATCCTCACCGGTGGCCGGGGATCAAACTGGTGCTGCAGATGATGCGGGCAGCTTCACAGCCCAGCGCTCAACCGCTGCACCACCTGGGGAGGCCCGAGATAGTGTGAATTTAGATTAAAAATATACATGAAGCAAGATACCTTTTCACAAAATCATTATTTTATATTCCTGTAAAAGCCACTTCAAATTTTTTGCTCTTCATTTTCAGTTGTGTGTGTGTGTGTGTTCTGGCAAATACAAAAATTGATTGTGAAGTATATGACTACCCACGCAACCTTCTGGGGGAATCAGTTATGCTACATTTCCCTGCTAAGGGGCTGGATTACACAATCTTGTGTCCACCATGTGACTCTGCCTTCACTGCCAATGCAGATTAAGTCAGAGTTGAACATCCTACCCAGGGGAACCAACTCATTCATGTGCCAGCAACTAATTAGTTACTTTCAAAAAACTGCACATTCAGAAAACTATGGGGGTGGGAGATAGTGCAAAATGAAAGGTCATGTCAAGTGAGATTTGGGGCAACCATTATCAGCAATGGAGCCCCACTGCCATTCTCTAGTGAGAAGGACACACAATAGAGCAGGTGCATCCAGAGAACACAGACTACGCCACCCACTCAAGAGGCAGGAGCAAGTGGAGAGAGGCTACCTCAGTCCCTGAGAAGTCTAGTTCCCAAAAGACTTGGTCACAACTTATTTCTCTGGGTACACTATGCCCTTCCAATAAATTGTTTATTTGAGCTAACTTGAGGGAATTTATTTTCCCCCCTACAACTAAATTAAACTGCATAATTTTATTGTGTCATTCCTAACAATGGTTACTTTACCTTTCACTTGATATGTTACTTGTAGAGAACTCTATGAACTATTGACATGACATAAAGATTGAGTAACTAACTAAAAAGGAAAAAACAACTGCAGTATTTCCCACACATTATATATTCATTGTTTAGTGGTAATT